TGCGTGTTGCCATACAGAAGGAACGGACTCGCTGTCGCACTCCTGCCCGCGTGCCAGCTGTGGGGTCCTTTCTGCCTGTGAACCGGCCCAGCCTGCCCTGTTCCGTCCGATGAGACCGGCAGAGCCTTTGTGCCGCTCAGAACAGCTACAGCTGGGACTGGTCCTTGATTACACAGCCCTGGAAATGCATTCTACCCACATGTAACCTCTCATTTGTAAAGTTTAAAAAAAGAATCTAATCTGATGTATTAATGTAGAAATAACACCTATTTATAATGTATCAGCATAACTGCAGGCTAGTTTTGTTTTCCTAATTTGCTGTGCTTGAAGTGACATGCCAGATTTTATTATATCACTAATGGGTTTTAGTTATTCCCTTTAGGATGTTGCCAACAAGGAAACATTATTCTGATTCATGACTCATGAGTTTATTTCAAAGTGATGTGACTCCTGATGGATGTCTGTGTTAGGGCAGGTAGAGTTTCTCCCTCTGCTCTCAGGTGGTATAAAGCACCCCATCCTCACTAGCTAAGGCACGCCAGTGGGGGGGAAGCTCTCCACTTAGATGGAGTAGAACCATAAATACTCCCCATACCCTAAGGCTATAGTGGTATGGATTTTCTACATAAAAATACAGTTAGTATAATTAACAAGCTATACATTGATCTGCTTTAGGATGATGGGCCAATGCTCTTACAGAGACACTGTGAAAATTGCAGTCCTTTTCTGCACTGAGCCACCTTTTTTTTTTTCCTTAGACCAAAATCTGCAACTACATCTTTTTATCTTTTTCCCTTAAGTTAATACTTTGGAAAACCTGTAAGTGACCACCCCGAATGCAGCAGACACCCTATTTATACACAGAACAGATGCAGAGTAGTTGGCAGTCTACACCTCAGGGCTGAAATGGCTTTAAGTATTACTTGTGAAACGAATCCTGTCTGAGAGCGAGCACGTACTGCTGGTCCCATCTTAGTTCTTCTGACAAGACTGAACAAAATCCCCAAGTCCTTCTTCTTTTCCTGTGGTGATAAAACTGCCTGTTCATTGTGCAGAAAGTCACTGCTAATATAGGAAAGGTTTGATTGGAACCCATGACCCGGAGGTTAGGTGCTCTCTACGCTGTTACCAAATCTCAGCCGCTTCTTGTGGGTACGAAACGCATCTGATCTGCTGCCAAATGTTCCTATCTGCAGGAAAAGCTACCGATTCACATTAGTGTGACTCTCAAATGCATTAATGAACTAAGTGCTTCAAAATGCGCCATACTAACATCTTTGGGCTAAGCCTTGGTCTTTGTTATCTGTGACTGCTGAAGTCAGCGACAAATCCACATGAACAAAACTAAAGACGCTACTTAACCACATACACAATTTATCAAACAATTTCTCTTAATAGTTGCTTTGGTTTTAAGCCTTTTGATTCATCTAGCAGCTGTTGTGACTGCCATGAAAAATAAGAAACTTAATTAAGGATGAATCTAAATAAATATTCTATGGTAATTTTTTTTCAAATTGTATCTATAGTAACTACACAAAAAACATCTTAAAGAACTGGGGGTAACATTTGTTCTGACACAAAAAGTTTAAAGAAATTATCAGTGACTTTTCAACTCTAGGAATGTACATAATTTTGTTACTGTGGGAAAAAATGCTTTGTTGATTATGCGGGTTCTTACACTAATATCTCTGCTTAAAGTTTGCTTTATTTTTGCTCGTGGAGCCTAGGCTGTGAATGAGTTTTTGTCTATGTGCCAAGGACTACAGTATCATATTTTAACTTCCTAACTACAAATATATTTTTATTCCATATACAATTTAACAGATTTAAGTGCAGCTGTGCTAATAGAATTGTGAGATAAGATCATATTGTACATCTGATATCTGAGTACAGTTCTACAATATTAATTCCCTACCAAAAGTCCCATCCAGATGGGAAATAACGCGCAGTACCACATTCCGCATCACATGAGCATCACCTTTGCATGCTTATGTACTATTGCAGTAATGTGTTAAAGAAAGGAAAAGTTTTTGTTTGTTTTTTTTACAAATGGATGTAATGGGGCATTAAGACACTGAAAAAGAACAACTGTATGTCCAAAAAATAGCCATAACTTATTTTGGAATTCTGTCTCTATTTTAGTAATAATTTTGCTACAACAGCTTTTAGAATTAGTTTTTCCTTTAATTCTCAATGTATCATAGTTGTACTGTTCACTACTCTCTGTATCTTTTGCCAGTGGGTTTCACTGATGGGCTTCACTTGAATTAATTTCAATATCATTTGATTCAATGATTTTACTTAAAATTTGTAGACAATACTTCTGTTCCCTGCAGTTTCTCAAGTATGCTTGACCAACTGTTAGCCTTATACTGAATGACAAACTAGGGAGTGATGGAAGTAGGACTGTACTCTAGGTTGTGCTTGCAGGGTGTAAGAAATTATTGAAGTGACGTATGTGCAGAACATGGCACTGAATCCGCTCGTCTGTCCTGTGGTTTCAATCCATCCTTCAGCCAGCCAAAGATCCTACTCTTACTTTGATACTTCATCTGGACTGCTCTGTGCAGCAAATACTGGACATGTCTCTGCTCCTCCTACCCAAGAGCTGAAATTGGCTCCATTCGAATCGATAAAAGTTTTATCATAGACCTTACTAACACCAGTATTGACGTTTTGCGGCCCTAAGTCTCTGCTAAGCAGCCGCATTCAATTTATCTAAAGAAAAGCTATGAAGTGGGAAAAACATACACAAAGAAAAATCATTTAGTCTGTCATACAATAACGTATTTTAGGTTTAGTACTCTGAAGAGCAAAAAGTGCTAATATGTATGTTATTGATGTCATGTCTGAGGATGTTCTCATCTGGCCTACGGAGAAGTGAAACAACTGTTCAGTAATATGGTATCATATTTTAAATGAGGGCAAAGGGAGGAACATTTTAAGCTGAAATCGTGGAGAAGTCACATTGAAGGGTCCTAGATTTTGTGGTTTTTCCCATTACTAGGGCTTACATTCCTCTATTTCAGAAAACATTGTAATTACAGGTATTGAAGACCTTCGGTTTAACCATCATCATCTAAAATCAGAATCTAACATAACATCCCCTAAAACTGTTTAGACTGAAGATTAATTAACAAACCAAACAGAAAATTTTCATTTACTAAGACTTTGGCATCTCCTGTTGCTTTGCTTAAGTTTGTTTGAAACATTTGGTAAAACCCCTAACCTAATCCAGGCATTGTTAGCTTATGAAATATGACAAGATCTCAACATAAACAGTCATTGGACTGGCATTTCGATTTTTATCTAACGAGCCATAAAAACAAGCCATCAAACTATGTAACAATTTGTCTTCCTCTTGCCCAAGATCTCCAAGGATAAGCAGCACAGCATGCGCAACATTTGACTTACTTGAAACTTGAATTTTTCGAAAAATTCTAATGACCCTTTACAACTGCGTATGTAATGACCCACACCATCCGTACATCAGTGTGCTCAAAATACCATTTCATTGTCTATCTAAGCCAAAATATTAATGTCTTGGATTGACAGTAATTGACTGATTCAGGCTTCGCTATCTGATGGTAATACCAAAAGTGAGGAACGGCTTGCACTCTGACAGCGTATCTCACAATTCTTGCATCTTGCCTCTCCGAGAGTCCTATAAAACGTTGAATGTTATCTCCTATTTGTGAGAATGCTATCTGCCAGAGGAGTTAGTTACACAGATTTTGAAGCACCCTGTATATGAACGGCGGGCCATTTTTATTGAACGCGGTTCCCTAACTATTCCTTGGTCAGATCTCTGATTGAAAATACCAGCAGCTAACAAAGGGATAAAATTATTCTTGTATAAGCCTACTGTGTGTTTTTAATATAATGTGCTAATGCATCGTCCGGTGCTCCCGCAGAATTACAACACTTCTCCGAGCAGGCCTGGCCAATATCTGATTGATTCTGGTCTGTGGGGATTGGCCCAGTTCAGTATAATTTCCTGTCTTGTTGCTTTCTTGTCTATTAGAGAGGGTTTGAGTCCGTGGAAATCAATAGGCTTACACATGCAAAATGTGAGGTTATTCTCTAGCAAGTTTCATTTGCGCCTGTAATTTATGGAAAACGCTATTTTCTCCTTTGAACATGTCTGTGCGCTTTTTTTTTTAGCAGTTTCCAAACTCTACTTAAACAAATACCTGTTTAAACACACCTCCCAAAGTATTCGTAAAGGAGAGGCTGTAAATTACTGCGAAGATGCTGGAGATGCTGAACACATGCAGACCCAGGATCTGCTACTTAAGACGTTAATAGCACTGAACTGTTTTGTAAATGGAGTCCTGTTTGTCTCAGCAGAATCACTGAAGTTATGATTTATCCTAAAATGGACATTAATGTCCTATTAAATGATAACAGATATTTAAGCATCTAACAATCTACTTCCTTTAACCCTGTGAACTTTGGAAAGACGGTAATTAATGGTGCACAGTAGGGTAACTTTATTTTGTAAGAAATAAGTTTCTAATATTTCCCTTGCTTATTGCAGAGATTGAAGCAAACTGAAGAAACAAAAGAGGATTCCCAGAATAGATTATCGAAAATTTCCCTGGAGTCTCTCAATAAATTTAACAGCAATAACGTACTTTTATTAGAAAAAGAGAAGAACTGTCTGAACAAGGTTGAAGGACAAAAGGAAGAAAACGGGAAGAAAGAGGCAGCTTCCTTAAATAGCTCGGGGAGGCACGACGTGGACAATTTAGAATCCTTGAGCGACTCTCTCTACGATAGCTTCTCCTCGTGCGCCAGCCAAGGCTCAAACGACGTATAGAGCCACTTCCCAGTGGGCTGTGACCGTGGCACGCAACGGAGCCGACGGCAAGTGGGGGGTGAGGGGGGGAGAAGGGGCGGTTGTTGAAAAATGCTCGCTCCAAATGGCTGTGCTCACAGGGGGGTGTTGCGACGTTTCGCCACACAGCAATAAGGAAGGCAAGACGGCGGTCGCCGTGATGCGCGAGACTCAACACTGAACACAACCAACGGTTACACAGAATAAAGTCTTAATTTTGCACTTTTGGGAATATTTGTACAGTTGTAAATATCTTGGGAAAATATATTTGTAGGGGTAAATGACAGCAATAAATATTAAATTGGTGCTATGCTCCCGTAATGGCAGATTACTAACTTAAAGAAATTGATGTTAATATTAACGAGAAAAGTTAGTAGATTTTTTTAAAAAGATTTATAATTGTTCTAGTCTTAAAACTGTATGTAGAAACACTGCGTTACCATAAACCTGAGCCTGCCAAATTGTCTGTAATAACCTTTCTTGGATTCCCTTTCACAAAACACGCTTTATTTTTTATTTTTAGTGCAATTCCATGCAAGGTGTTCTAGGGAAACGTGCATTTCGGTCATTACAACTTCACAACAGGTGTCTCCCTTCGAAAGGGTTTTGACTTTTGACATGGCAAGAAAATGAATAGATCAAAAGGCCTGGTACTGCTGGTACTGACTTCATCGATCACGCGCTTAACGGTTTGAAAGATCAGGGTCAAAGTAACTCACCCCTGGCACCAACGGGAGACTCGTATGAAGGAGAACTACGCAAACCGCCCTTCAGTCCCGACTGCAACATAGCTTCCCTGCCTCCACCTCCTCTGTACTCGTTCCCTATCAAATGATGAATGTGCCATCTTGTGTTGTCTTTTGTAGTCCCCATTTGGTGTTAATTCAATTGTAAACACTAAAATTATTTTTAAAAATCGAAACTGAACTCCTGTTTGTGACACACTTAAAAGAAGGTGTTGGTGCTGACCAGCGCTAGTTCGAACATGTCTAGGAGCAGGGGGATTGGCCTGTTTTGGGTGCTTTTGTTTTTTCTACAAAGGTTGTTTATATGTAAGGGAAAGTCTATTTCAAAGGTTCTGTGTATTTTTTCTAGATGTGAAGTATTTATAACTGCTTTTTGTACAGCGATCTGTAAACTAGATATATTTGGGATATTTCTAGACTCTACAGTTTCTTTAGCACATGCCTGTTAATCTTCAAAATATTGTATGATCAGTGTTAATATTTTGTGCAATTTGTTATATTTTAAGTCATTTCTGCCGTAAACTTGCATCGTCGTCTTCAACTTTTAAGAAATTTGCATTGAAACATCTTTCGTAAATAAAATTTCTCTTCCATGTGTGTCTGAAGAGGGGGTGTGGAAGGGGTGGGTGGGCCACCCTGAGCGTACGGGTGAGCGCGGTCAGGACGGCCCAGCAAGCTGCACGGGAAGGGGAGCAGCGCCGGGGTGCGAACGCATACAGGACTGCGTGCAAGCCATACCCCTTCCAACTCAACTAGCCTCCCGTGCTCCGAAAAGAAGGCAGCTGCAGATAGGATTCCGTCATTTAGATTAATTCGCGACACGGTGACTAAAAAGCAATTTAAGCGTAATTCAGACTCTTCACTTGCAGATAAGGCTGCAAAACGATCGAAGAGAAATACGTGGTTATCCCTGGAGGAGAAAACGAGTCACCCCCTCAGGCTGGGTTAAAGCAGGGCGAAAAAGACCAACAACCCGGCCTCTCCCCTCTCCTCCCCGCGTCGCGGGCGGGTGCTGCTCG